AGATCACCCTGGGCAGGATCCTTGGATCCTCTGGACCTGACATTTCTCACCTTACAATGGGAGCAGCAATAGTACCTACCTGCGGGGCAACTATAATGATGGAAGAGCCCAGCACAGGGCCTGGGAACCTAAGCAGCAGCTATCCCCTAGTGCTAGGTACAGTGCGAAGACCAGGAGAAGCCACCATGAGCAAAACCAACATGACTTTTCCACTGTAGCTTCCAGGGAGACAGGCAAACATCAAGCAGGGGCGGGGCTGGGTGCTCTGAAATGGTGGGGGAGGGGTAGAGTGAACTTGGAGAGCCTGAAGAGGCACATGAGGTAGAGTATGGTGAGTCAGAAGCAGTTGCTGATTAAAAGAAAATAAAAAAGTACCCAAGGCAGAAGGAACACAAGCTGCAGGCCGCAGAGACAAATCTGGCCCTCCACCTATTCTTGTCAATAAAGTTTTATTGAAACAGAGTCCATATGTTTACATACCATAGCTGTTCTTATGACTTAACAGATCCACAAAACAGGGAAGACTTACTATCTGGTCCTTTCCAGAGGAAAGCTCTCTTGTGGGTAATGAGTTACCCTCTGGAAGTTCATTCTGTAATACCTGAAGAGGCTGCCACACCCTTCAGAGACTCCTCCGCAGAGATCTGGAAACCAACAGGATTGGTGCTATTTGTGGCCATGGAAAGGAGCCATGGTTGGTAGCTCTAAAAAGTGGTCAGACATGTAGGAAACTGACCCCATGGAGCCCAGAAAAAGAAAGAAGGCAAGAACTATGTCAGTATACAGGATGCTCATAAAGTCCTCGTTGCCTTCGCGAGCTCTGTTTCCTAATTATAAAGTAAACAGGGCCGAGGCTATAGCTCTGGGGCAGAGGTCTAGCGCACGCACACGAGGGCCGCGGTTGATTCAATAGTACCCAAAACGTAAAGGATGACAAAGGAACACGACATCATTATGAGCATTTAGAACTTTCTATAAAAAAGCAGAGAGTGGCAAAGGAGACGGTGCCCATACTGCTTCTCAGGGCCAGCCATGTGAGCTCAGAGCACCCACACATTTAAGCTTTGCTGACCACATGTGTCCATGCCATGCCTTTCCCTTGAAGGGCAGGACACGCTTTGTGGACACATGATAAGAGCATGGCGCCAGTGCCTGCATCTCACACAGACGTCAGTTTCCCCACAAATCCATCTCTTCCCTCCCCACCTCCCTCCCTCTCCTGTGTTTTGAAGTAGGGGCTCACTCTGTAGACCAGGCTGTTCTCAAACTCATAGGCATCCTCCTGTCTCTCTCCCTTTACAATGCTGGGATTAAAGGCATGCCTCACCAGGTCTGGCCCTGTTTGTTTATTTTTTGACGTAGAGCCTTGATCGCTATCTCCCCATAGTTCAAGCAGAGGGAATCCTCCTGTCTCGGCCCGCCGAGTGCTAGAATTACAAGTGTGTGCCACTACATCCAGCTCCTCAAATCTCCTTTATACAAGTGATCATTGCTGCGGTCTGTGAGAAATTTTGAATCTTTCCAGGCTCCAATTCTAAAAAGCAGAACGTGGCTGGAGGCATGGGCCTGCCGTCCCAGCTATGTGGGAAGTAGGGTCATGAAGTCAAG